TGCTCTGAGGGCTGGAACAGCTCTGCTGGGAGGACAGGCTGGGAGAGCTGGGGGGGCTCAGCCTGGAGCAGAGAAGGCGCCGTGGAGACCTTATACCAGCCTCTCAATATAGAAAGGGAGCTGATAAGAAAGACAGAGCAATGGTTTTAAACTGCAAGAACATAGATTTAGACTAGACATAAAGAAGAAATTTTTCCAGTGCTGGTGGTGAGATGCTGGAACAGGTTTCCCAGAGGATGCCCCATCACTGGAAGTGTTCAAGGTCAGGTTGGATGGGGCTTTGAGTAACTTGATCTAGTGAAAGATGTCCCTGCCCAAGGCAGGTGTTGGACTAGATGATCTTTGAAAGACACTTTCAACCCAAACCACTCAATGACTCGATGTTCTCACCTCCCCAAACCAGGCCAAACAGTGCTTCTCCCAGGCTGAGAAGCGAAGACCTCCAGCCCAGTACCTTCTGCTGAGCCTGGCAAAGTTTTTGTCAAACAACTGAAGACTCCTTTAATTCACAAACTACCGCTTGAAGTGAGCCACATCCCAAACTCTAGAATATTTTTGTGATGTTTTTTTGGTGCAAAAGATTATAAAAATAAATAGAAATGTGGTTTTACATGATTATATCTCATTGGTGGATAAAAGCTAAGGGAGAAGCCTGAAACAGGTGAAACACCATGCAGCACGCTGTCTGTGATCCTGGCAGCAGCCGAACAGCAGAAATTGAGGTTGAATGGGTTTGTGGGAGGAAAAAAGCATATTTCTCCCGTAATCTGAAGCTTTTCTTGTCATTGGTTCTGCAGTGGAGTTTCATTATCTGAAAGGACAAACCTCAGCTCCAAATTTGACTTTGCGTGTTGTTGTTTTTCTTGCTGCTTCCCTAAATTCCATGGCAGACTTGTTTATTGGCAAGTTAATCCTACTAATAATGTAAAAAAACCTCAATTTGGGGAGCAGCCACAGCAGTTTGGGTGTCTGCCTGGCCCTGCTGTGTCAAACGGGCTGTGGAGAAGTGGGAAACACAATGGAGAAGTCCGCACCAAGAGGGCACAACTGCACAGAAGTCCCCCTTTTGCCACCCTCCACCTTGCTGGGATGGCTCCACGTGATCATTTACAAATGACAACCCCAAAGTGGGAATAAAAATCCATTTAATTTTCATAAACTCTGAAGTTATGAGACAAAGACCCGACAAGTAAAAACACATACCCTGCCTGCTGACATGGGGCACCGCAGCACTGATGAGGTTTTTTTTTTTCCCCCTCCCTTCAATAATCTGGCTAAGCAGGCTAAAATTTAGTCGAAAATCAGGTCAAGAGCTGCTAAATTCACATCTGATGCCTCTGGTAGACCAAGGCAGCACTGGGAGCCCTCCCCACTCCCATCTCATCTTGCAAGGCATGGCATGCCAGTGAGATGCATCCTCCAGCCCCAGCCGCCCCTCAAACCCTGGAGGGAGCACCTCAACCTCCATCCCCAGGGCCTTTGGCTTCGCGTGGATGCTTGGATGATGGTACCTGTTTCAGCAGGTCTCCGTGGTCCGGGCATTCCCGGGTGTGAGGCTGTCATGGGAGTGATGGAGGTGACCATCTCCAGGGAGCCGCAGCTTCTTGGATGCCACCCAAGTCCCAATCCAGTGCATGAAGAAAGTTGTCTTAAACCAGCCCCAAATCTCCCCAGTTTGACAGGACTCCGTTTTGGCAGTGGGAAGGGCATCACTAGCCTCTTCCAGGGCAGGAACGTTTGCCTTATAGCACCCCAGGAGTGGTCCCTGTCCAGGCAGCTGTGCCTACTTCGGCCCTGCTCCAAGATGCAGGGAATTACTTAGTGTAACTTCCATCATCCCAGCTCCTCGCAGTGACACCGAGCAGGTCCTGCCCTCACCCCTTCTCCCCATGGGGCCAGGGGGACCGGGCAGTGTGGGGGGCATCCACCCCCTTCTAGCGGTGATAGTGACACCAGGGAGCACCCCTCCAGCTCAGTCTCATGGGACTTAAAAAATAGCACCTCCTAAATATACTTAGGGTGAGAACCAACCCTCAAATATGCAATGTATGGAGGGGTTGTGGCAGGAAAAAACCCCATTAGCCCTAAATTGTAAACCTCCGCCTTAGCCGTGGTAACCCAGGGGGTATTCGGGACTCCTGATTCCCAGGGACTGCCCGTGATGGAGGGTGAGGGGAGCTGGCACCTCTGCCGTGAGCCCCCTGGGACAACCAGGGTGTCCGCAGCCCTGTGCCTCCCTGTCCCAAGTGGGGCAGTTGGTAGCCGAGAGGTCGCGGGTCACCCTGCCCTAGGAATGGGGGCTGCTGCCACGGTGCAGCCGCTGGGCCATGCTGATGAGGGAACGGAGCTGCACCAGCTTGAGCGGCCCCACTTGCCGGGGGTCCTGACCCTCCAGCCAGCGCAGTGCCGTCTCCAGACCTTTGATAGCTTCCCGAGCCGTGGGCAGCAAGGCGTCCCCTCCTTCCCCACCCTTTCTACCACCCCTGTCTCCAGCAGCTGCCTCCTCCTCGTCCTCCTCTGCCCCGCAGCCCCTGGGGCCTTCCTCCTCAGCGTCTTCCTCCCCATCTTCCTCCCCATCGTCCTCCTCCGTACCAGGGGCCGCATCATCCAAGTGCAACCAGTTGGCCACCTCCTCGGGAGCCAGGCGCTTGTAAGCCAACGCTGCCAGGTGGGTCAGGTCACTAAAGACTTTGCTGTCCCCACTGCCTTCCTCCCTGTGTGGGTGGTCTCCGTGCTCTTCCTCCCCAGGCTGGGGCTCAAAGGCAGCACGCAGCCCCAGCAGCCAGCACTTCTCAATGGAGCCGGGGGGGATGAGGTCCCAGGAGAGGCCGGCCAGGTACAACATGTCCTTCAGGAGGAAGGACCGCACAAAATCCATGGGGCCACCGGGGCCACCGCCACCCGCCACGCATGAGACGGCCAGGCGCAGCAATTCCCGCTTGTAGAGCTGCTTGAAGGCAGACACCACCCCCTGCTCCAGCGGGGCCGGGATTCGGCCTCCCGCTCCAGCTGAGCTGCTCCCGGCAGGGCCCTTAGAGAGGAACAGGGCACGGATGGAGCCGTCGGGTGTCTGCAGTGGGGGGGACTCCTCGGGGCCAGTCGCAGAGGTGGGTGGCGGGGAGCTGAGCAGCAGCACAGCCTTCTGCTGCAGGCAGCTCCGGCGCAGGTAGCGTTTGACAACTGGAACAAAGTCCTCAAAGAACCAAGCCCGGAGAAGGGCTGGCCCCAACCTGGCTTCGGGGCTGTAGCGGTAGCAAGCGGGGAATTTGTCCTGGTTGTGATGGCGGAGGCTGGGGGGATCACGAAGGCCCCCGACCACCAGTGGCTTGAGCGCACAGCCTTCTGCTGCAGGCAGCTCCGGCGCAGGTAGCGTTTGACAACTGGAACAAAGTCCTCAAAGAACCAAGCCCGGAGAAGGGCTGGCCCCAACCTGGCTTCGGGGCTGTAGCGGTAGCAAGCGGGGAATTTGTCCTGGTTGTGATGGCGGAGGCTGGGGGGATCACGAAGGCCCCCGACCACCAGTGGCTTGAGCTTGTGGGAGCCAGTCAAATTGGCGGCCAAGA